CTTACTTAAAACTCTTAAGACTAATGTTAGATTTTTTTATTTTTTACCTTTTTGAAAACTAAGTGGCGACTTCATATTTACACATTACACATTTCTATTTTTTTATGATCACCAAGAGGTTATCGTTTGACAACATATGAGCATGTGGGCTCATTGTATGAGTCAACTACTAGTTAATAACTTAAAGGTGATTCATCATCTCAAGATTTTAAACTATTCCGGATATCTCTTGAGGGTGTAGAAGAGGAGAAGAAGCATAGAGTCTACGAGTTTTGGTTTACTAGTGTCCTAGCATTACTCCCATTCCGGCACCAACTCATCATCTACCACATTGCGGCTTCCTAGCCGTATGCAATAGGATAGTAAGCAAGGACAACGGGAGTTAGAGGATATAGAGCGTAACTATACATGGTAGATCCGGAGGTGGACAACACACATCAAGTAGAATACTAGGTTTTCCAGCAAGAAATGTAGAGAATGCAATAGTTGTTATTGGAAAAACTCACTCGCGTCCCTCCTTCTAACCCTTCCCCTACCCGAAGTTGGCCTTCCCTCTAAATACCCAACATTCGAAAGATGATGCAACAAATGATGATGATGAGGACTATTTTTTTATATATATATAATGTTTTCATACACCGAGTCTGTATTGATGTATATATTTGATTAGATGTATGTTATTTTAATTTTACTCAATAATATTATGCGTTGTAATATTATTTTTAGTTCTTTACTACTACGACGGAACATTTAAATGCCTATTAAAATAATTTAAAAAAAAATCCTTTATTTAGCAATGGATCAATGACCGACTAATGAAAAAAGAAATAATCACTCATCGATGGAAATTAGCGACGAAAAAAAATCACCTAAAAGTATGAAATGTTAACTTGTAAATTGTTTTGTTTTGGTGTCCAACCGGTAAATTTTTCTATTCCAATGCCCAAATTTTGATTTTTTTGTTCGAATGTCCATAATCACACGAAAGTATGAAATGTTAATGTATGTAGAAAGAATTGTCGGGTGGAAATTAAAAATAAAACTATGTTTATTTCAAAGTTCGAGAAAATTAGTCTATTATATTAAATACTTCTTCCTTTAAATGATTTTATTTTTTGGTTGATTTTGATGACTTCATTAATATAAAAACCAAATTGGTAAGAAGAACATTAAAATCAAACAAATAAATTAGCAATTAGCTAGAAGATTATAGTAAGAAAAGGAAATCGAAAATAAGATTAGCTTAATTTCATCAAACTTTACGTTAACGTAGGATCACAAAATTAGTGCAAAATTTCTTCTCGTTTTTTTTTCCTTCAAGATAACAGAATGCGTTTCCATTTTTTCAGAAGAAATTTTTATTTAATTTCATAGCATATATGATCTGATAATATTATATATCTATCCTTCACCTAAATGCTAACATTATATATATATATACTTTTTTTTTTTTTTAGTGACTTGTTATCTAAAATATTTTTATTTTTATTGAGAAGGATTTTTTTTTTAAGAAATACTATTGATTTTAAATAAAATATTATATATTAATAAAGGAAACTTTTTTAATTTTAATGAAAAAATAAATAAGTAAAGAAATTAAATAAAAAAATACAAAATTTTGGGCCAAGGTGTGGGAGGCCCATGCGCTTGGGCTTGAGAATGGAGGCCAACGTAGGCCTTAGAAAGGCTTAGCCCAGCTATTGGGAGAGAATGAAAAAAAGGAGGAACAGGAACGACCTATCGTACTCATAGGAGACGCATCACTTGCCTTCAACGTTGTTACCATTTTAGTCACTTCAAAAAATGATTGGTATAACCTCCAAAAATTCATTTGTAATCTCAAATTTTATTGTAATACACAATCGACCATTAATAAACTTCTGATATCCAAACTCCATCGGATGACCCAAAAAATCGGAAGAACCACAGTTTAAATGATGGATTTGGACCGCTTTGTCTCTCTCTCTCTCTCTCTCTTTCTTGTTCTCCTCCTCTTTGCTTCATGGTAGGGGCTAAAACATACCTATCCAAAATAGACGTACCAAAGTGTAAAATAGGATTAAATTACCTCCAAGTACCGGGCCTTTAAGTTTAAATTAACTGTTGCAAATGAAGCTTATTGGTTTCATTAATGAACTTGAACTCCAGCCAAAAGATTACACGTGCCTTCCATACATCCTATATGAGGTAACCACTTCATTTTCCTTTCTATTTCTACAATTATGTCAAACATTTTTGTTATACATTATCTGATAAAATACTAAATTTTAAATTAGAAATAAAAAGGATTCTAATCTACCTTATTAACAAACTCTTCCTCCTTCCAACCTGTATTAATAGTGAAGTTTCATGATAATGTAAATGCGTCATGATTTATTTACAATTGATTTCAATTTGGTTGAATTCACGAAATTTGATGAACATATGATAAATTTCTTGATGAAATTGTCTTTATAATAGCTGATTGTTTGCCGAATTGACACAAGTGCTCACTTACAATTGGGGTTAATTTCTTTTCAATAACACAACTTTATTTATTATTTTCTCATCTCTTTTACACTTGTTTTTTTGCTCAATTTCATTGTCTTGGACCAATAATCTGTCTTCTTCTTTTTTTAATTATTTTTTATTCGTAATGTAAATGAAATTTGATTTTAGATTATTTCCTATTTTTCCAAGTAATTCTGACCATCCTAAGAACTCCAAAGAAAATCTTCCATTTTCCGTAAGCCAGAGCAGTGAAATATGTAGCAAAAAATACCCCACCTACAAGGTATGAGCAATCTGATAAAGCAAAATAAAATATGATGTAAAGTAATGGAAAGAAAAGAAAATTGTTAGATAACACTAAACATTTTCTAGATTATTCCGTTGTCCATTTTTATATATATGACAATAATTAAACGGTTTAATGGAAAAAATTACCCTCAAACTATTACGATTTGATAATTTTAGATATTTACTATCAATTTTAGTTAATTGAGTTCCAAACTATTAACTTTTTTTTTTTTTGACAAATATGATCCTTATCCATTATCTTTAACGATCAAATGATTGATTGTCAATAGTCAATCCTTTGAATGTTAACATTTTAGTTTTTTTTTAAATAGTTAATTTAGTCGAACTATGATCTAAATAAAATTACTCGATTGTTGTTCGTTAGATTTCAAAATTATAACACTCATAAAAAAAGTATAGATAATCAAATAAAAATACATATATTCAAATATAAAAAAGTACAAACGCTCATTTAGAAATAAAATAAAATTTTCATGCTCCTCTAGTGGACAAGTCGGCATGTTGATGTGTCAATTTAATAATTATGTCGGTACAAATTTAACAAAAATACTTGATTTGGAAAAAAAATAAAAAAAATTACATTAACGACAATCTAGTTAATACTAGATTTAACTATTCTATTTTATTTTTAATCAAGTTAATTTAATGGTTGTCTCAGTATGAATTTAATATAAATACTTGATTAGAAAAAAATTAAAAATTTATATTAACAACGATGTAGTTGATACTAGATTTAAATATTTAATTATATTTCTAATCTAGCCGAGTTTAATGTTTATGTAGCATGAATTTTTTTAAAAAAATATTCCATTAGAAAAAAAATTGTACTTTTAATTTTTTATTTAAATATATGTATTTTTTTTCTATTTGACTATGTACTTTCAATTTTTTTTTATTTGCTATTAATTTTGAAATCTAATGAATAATGACTATACATTCCTTTGTAGATCATCTCTTGACAAAGTTAACTAAATTAAAAAAAATAAAATGTTAGCAGTCAAATGATTGATCATCGATGATCAACTATTTGACAGTTTAAAATAACGGACAAAGATCATAGATGTTAAAATATATATATATAGTTTGAGTTTCAATCAACACAAATTGTTAGTAAAGGACAAAAATTGCAAAATCTTAATTGTTTGGGGATAATTATTGTCATTAAACCGACAATAAACGTTTGTTGCACATCAACCCTGATTGTTTTCCTTACCACTTGTTGAGGTTAAAAAGTTTCATGTTCTGTTTGCTGAATCTAGCAGGCTACTTATTGGGCAAAAGAATGAATGTTGAAATTATAGATCAAGCTGGAATACTGTATCAATATTTTTGCAGGAGGTCCTTGCAATACATTGAAATAATTGTAGCCTAATATGTCATATATTTTTATTTATTTTTAAATTTTCTAGCAGAAGATCATGTCATAGATATTTGTTATACATTATGTGATAAAATAGTAAATTTGAACTTGGAATTAAAAGCTTCTATGCTAACTTACTCACTCATCCTTCAGTTCATGTGAGTCCTAGCTATCTCTATGTCGTTGTACACTTTCAATTTGACATTGCTTGTACTGTCACGCTGGCTTAGGATTGTCCCTCCGAGGTTTCTCTGAATTTGAAAATTATCAAAAGAAGAATTAGCCATTGGATAAATTTTAGGAAATAAAACTTCCATTAAAGAGAATCAAATGAACGATTTTCATAGAAATTCTCGTACAACAAAAAATGAAGTTTTCGTACTATACATGCTAGATCATAAATTAGTCATTGCATCCAATCTTTTATGAAATTTCAATTGATTCAATTTTTTTTTTTTAGAATGGAATATTTACCGAATCCTCATAAATAAGATCAAATCTTATTCCATGGTATTCAATAAATAAATAAAATTAAAGATTAATGATGAAGTTTGCATAACACCAAAAATAACATGAAAAAAAATAAAAAAAATCCAAAGCAATAAATATGGTTAAGCACGAGCAATTTATTTTTAAGTTTCAATAAAAGTTCGACAAAAGGCATAAAATTAGTTGCTTACAATGCTTAAAAAAAAAAAAACAAAAAAAAAACAAATCTCTACATGGATAAATTACAAGTAGAAATTTCGATCCCAATTGAAACTTGAAAACAAATCTCATGTGTTGGCATTCTGCCTTGATCAGAACCTGTTCTACCTTGACAAAAAAAATGCTTGCTTGTCTAGGTTATGCTGCTCTTCCTGCTAGTAACATTATCATTTGAGACATACTTGTGCCATAACCAATGTTTTTCCCACACTTGATTCATTTCTTCAATTGGGATATTCTTGGTCTCAGGCACAAAAAAGCATACAAAAATAGTCATTAGAACAACAAATCCAGCAAAGAATAAGAAGACACCAAACTTCATATGACAAAGCATAGAAAGGAAGAATTGGCCAATCACAAAGGTGAAGAACATGTTAACCGAGACATTGGTGGCTTGTCCTGCTGAACGGATCTCCAGAGGGCAAATTTCACTAAGCACTAGCCATGCCAATGGACCCCAAGACCATGCAAAAGCTGCTACATATGCACATATCAAAAATAGCACGAAGGAGGATGAACTTTTAGACATTTCTCCCACTCCTTGTGTCCCAAAAGGAACAAAGTTACATACTGAATATAATAGCTATATAGCTAGCTGTCAATCAAGCTTTTGTTCTTTATTAAAATATATTTGAATTGCAAAGCGAAAAGGATGGAGGAAAGAAAATAGATGGTTCGTCATAAATCCTCAAGAGTACCTATTGCTGAAGAAAAATTCCATATTGCCAGCTAGAATGATAGCATCTCCCAATTGCACAGTGACCTGGTAAGCCAGAAGTGGCTAAGGTTGTTTATATGTGTTTCATATTTTAAACATTGGCATGCAAGTAAATCGAAGAGTGATTGAATTGTCTTTAAAAAATTGGACTAAGTTTTGTTTTTAGCATGCAATCATGTTAATAACCAGGCATTAATTTGCTGACTCACCATTAGAAGTAGAGATTAATTCAGCATGTAACTTTATTCTTTTACAGACATCCATGCATTTAAAAAGTCGTTTAAGAATTCTAAATTTCTACGCATCATAACAATATCTATAGTTCATATTTCTAACAAACAAGAAAAATCACAATTATAGTTTTACATGGAAGTTCCAAGACCAGCCTATCAAGCAGGCCATTATGAAAATTGAGTTTAAAAATTCTTCCAGAATTCAGTTCCAAAAGAAAGAGTATAAAAACAAAATGATCAGCAAGCTGCAAGTGTATCCTAACAGAACTAATTCACAAGATCTCTCTTTGAATACATCAAGCACACGGGCTTGATCTTCGCTGGGGATTCACGCAACTGTCACCCCAGCTTCTCTTAGAGTCTTGATTTTTGTTTCGGGCAGTATCCTATTCTTTAGAAACAGTAGCTGTAAACAAAAATACAACAGTAAGAGCCATTTTACAAATATTTCAAAGCAAGGATCATATTTCCAGATGCAATGACTGGGCATTAGAATCTTACTTCCAAGCAACAATTTCTGGAGTTTCTCCTTATCCAAACGGGTTTTGCAATGAAACCGAATTTCATATTGAGCTCCAAATATGCGCTGGCGTTACTTCTTGCTCAATTCATGACTTTGTGTTTTCATGACTAGAAATTGCTTCTTTATTCGCATTTCAAATTGTTCTCTGGACTTTTTATCAACACAAGGTGATCGTAATGCAGTATACAAGACTCGTGATTCAGGCAATCTAATCTTTCGTGTATCAGCTGGAAGCCCAGAAATAGTGGTTCCAAGAACTAGGTTTTCAAAAGATCGAATCGCTACGCATATCTTGGTAGTCATTGCTTTTGGTGGTCTTTCTTCTTGGCATCCTGAGATTCACAAGGTCATAAAGACAATAAGTCTAAAGCAAATACCACTCAGCAGACAATAACGTCCATCAAGGATTCATAAACAAATGAAATTTTGATTCTATGGGAATTGCAAAGAATGTTCCTACATTCTAAATCCAAAGTTCAGGCTTATCCTAAATTTTACAACTAACTAATCTTGGAAAGTACAAGCATACCAAGGTGGACATGACGCTACATGCTGCTGACAGCCAAAAGAAATAAAAGGTATAAAATTAGAACATGCTGAGATTGAGTGTTCAAGAACTGAGATCATGTACACATATTTATTAATCGATGGATTCTTCATCAAATTACCTTACAAACAAAAGTTTCTATAAGAGTTAAGGCTACAACAGGATTACACATATGATGCTGATCAAATAACTATCGTTCTTTCAAATCTTTATGCATTTGATTGACATCTTATGAAGTAACCAATGGCTAACATACCCAACTATTTCTAGCGATGATGTGGCAAGACCATGGATAGGGTGTATTTAATTTGAATCAATATACTGATTACAAGTTGGTTAGTGAAAAACAAAAATTTCACTTCTTTTTTCTCTCCTCTGCTTCTCTATCCTATCCTCTATTTCTCTTATCAACTCAAGTTTCTTCTTTTCTTATCTAAATCTATCCGTTCAAAATTCCTAATTTAGTACAGATATTGTATTAGATCTTTACCCATATAATGCATGTTGAAGGGTTTGGGTGCATGAAATATCATATGCATCATCATAAATTAATAAAACTAGATCCCGCTGCAATACCTCCAGCAGTCAGTCCAATTGAAGATACAACGGTAGGCATTTTAGTTTCACTTTCCTATTTCAGTTGCATAAAATCATAAGAGCAGTAGTCACAATTGGGCAATGGACATATGTTCTTTCTATTAACTATAAACTAAAATAAAGTTGAAAGTTCACAAACATTCAATACATTGATAAAAATATATGTTATCCTATCGAAGTGTACAAAAATTTGCAATGCCCAGTGACCAAATTTCAATAGAGCTACAAATTCCATCTAGAAGTAGAAAACCACCAATAAGTTGACATCGGAGAAGATTATTTGAGCATGACACGTTGATATAATTTACACACTATTATAAGCTATCTTAAAAAATTGATAACCAAAACTTTTAACTCAATCACATTTCTGCTTATTCTTAGGTTGCTTGTCAGATCCATGCTCATCATATTGTGTACAGATCAAATGGATTAGATTGTTACTGATCTCTCATGTCAGACATTCTTTACAGACAATTCAAAGAAAACCCATCTCTTTGTACACGCATGAGTACATGAGAGAAAATTTACTTAATTCCATCTATTTACTACTCTCCTCCGTACATTTTTCCTTTCCTGAAATCATCCCCTAAATCCAGACTGACAGTCTTAATTCGAGCAGGAGCTTTTGTTTCAGCCTTCTTAGGTCTCACTGCCCATTTATATATGCCAAAGGAGATTTAAAGATCGAAACTCTATACACAAACAATTATATGAGAGAACATTTCATAAATTCCATCCATTAGTTACCCTCATTTTGTGTGGGAACCATTTCCTAGATCCAAACTATGTCTTAATCAGGGCAGCAGCATTTCTTACAGATTATGAAAAGAGTGAAACTTTGTGTGACAAAGCAACCAGAAACAATCGAAAAGGTACTGCGAGGTAGAAAGAAAGCATAGAAATAGTAAGTTGCTAGCTATAACAGTGTACTAAATATGAAAACTGATGCTTAAGTTCGTAAACACGTTGAAAAGGAACCTAATTGGTTTACAGATAAACTTACTTTCACTGAATTCAAATCTAAAGCAATAAATACAAGTTATAAATATAAAAGTACATTTTGATTCAAAACACCACAATGTTCTCTACTAGAACCAAATTATTACCTAAAATAAAAGAAACCCATTAGCAAGAATGCAAAGAAAATCACCTCTAAAGAAGTAGTTATGCCCATTTTGTGCCATCAGAGACCAAAATAACAAAAACCCATCACCAAACTAGTAAAATAATAACAACCCACAAACAAAAACCAATCAAAAAAACACATCAAAAACACACACAAGAGAGAGAGAGAGAGAGAGAACTTTTATATACCATCTTAGGAGCAGCCGCAGTTAAAGAGCGAGATTTTAAAGAGGAAAAAAGATGGAATCTTTGATGACAAAGAAGACACAAGTCTTGTTTGTCTTGACATTTTCTTTTCTTGAGTTCCTCTCTCTATCTCTGACTGAGAAAATGAAGGTTTTTGCAGGGGTTTTTACAACGAGTTAAAGCCCAATTGCCTCCCTGTAATATTATTTTGATCTATTATATTTTGGTTCAATATGTCCTTGAATTAAACTGAGCGCTAACCATTTCTTTAGAACACGTGACGTTAATAGAAGATGCCACGTATTCAAAATTTAATTTTGACACTTGACTTATTAAGCTGAATGTAAATTTATTTTTTACATTCCCCGGTGCTAGTAACTTGGAATGCACCCAAAGTAATTAGATCCATTAAAGAAGTCTTGACTGGTAGCAATCTGAATGTGGAGAGTTATTTTAAGGAGTCGATGTGACCTGTAAATAAAAAATAAAAAAGATTGTGGTGATGATGAGGACATCGTCATGGGAGAAAGCTACCCTCTCTGCGTTCTGAAAAGTGAACATCATAGGCTCATGTCGGACAATTATTGCCTGTGAGGTGATTTGCTCTCTGCATTTTTTTTTTTTCTATAGTTAAAGAATATTAGCTGGAGGGGAAATAATTCTAATAGTAGATATGTAAGAGAGCATCTTGGTGCTCACTTGGTCCTCCTCTTTTCTGGTTCGGGTCTAACCCCTTTTTGTTACAAACTATTTGAGATAGCTTTTGACAATCAACCTTTCCATCTCTTTTTTAATGCAAAACAACTTTTCTTGTAATGCCCATTCTCTTGGCTATAAAATAAAAGATTATATATAGATCTATGCTCAAATCAATCCATGAATGATTCGAATTTATTTTAAATTAAATATAATTATTTTAATAATTAAATTATTAATTTATTTTAATTAACAAATAAAAAATTTATTTAATAACTAATTAATTAATATTTTAATTAATTGCCTAATTAATTTTTCTAATCAATAATTTAATATTTTAATTATAAAATAATTGACTTAATTGAACAATTTAGAAAGGAAATTAACAACCAAAATAATTAAACTAACACATAATTTTATATTTTTAAAAAATTTAAAATTTTAATTTTTTAAACAATAATATAATAATTAAATTACCAAATAATGAACTTAATTTAACAATTACAAAACTAAATTAACATGCAAATGAATCAACAAGCAAACGAAAGAAACTAACATGTAATTTTATAATTTAAATTAAATTTAATTAATTTAATTATAAACTCTTAATTTTCTTATTTAACTACCAAATTGATTCTTTTAAACACAAATTAAATAACTTAATTATAAAATAATTGACTTAATTAACAACTACAAAATTTCAATAACAAACAAATAAATTAAAGTAATATATATAAGTTTTTTGTCTACAGTTTCGTCTTAGCAAAGGAAACATCTCGGTTTTGAGGTAGGTCAAATAACCGATTGTTAGATATGGGCTTCTATCCTTCCTAGTTGTTTTCCTATGGTCTCGAAGGTTGGTATTTGTAAAAGTTTTTTGTTGAACAATGTTTTGGATGTTGACAAAATCATCGTCCTTAACTAATTTGTAGGGACATGCTTATATCTTAGCTTCTCCAAGGGAAAAGGTAAGTTTTCCGGGAGGAGGATGTTTTGACCGAATGGTTTTTCCATCTACTTTTCATATAGGGTTTTTATTTCTATTGGTAACGGGATTCACTGTTTTGGTGAAAGGATAAGAAATATTATTTGCAAAAACATATATTTCAAACCAATCAAAGAATAATATATGAACTTTATAAAGGTTCACAAAATCATAAAATTCATTTTGTATTTCTTTCCTATTATCTAGAAAATTTTTGAAAAACTTAATTCTTTTTCGAATTATGTTTTGCATTGAAATCATCATGCGAGATATTTTTGTCTACTTCAAAATCATCTTTTTTAATCACATTACACTTATTAGCAATGTTTTCGGTAATTGTCGAAGCAATAGGAGATTCGAGTGGAGAATCATCTTGGTTTGAATATTTGGATTTGGGAATGTTTGTACTATAATCAACATTTTGTAGAATAGGGTTAGGTATATCCGAAGTGGAATACCTAGGTTTGGAAAAAGGGAGATTAATGATAAAGGGAATCTTAAAAATTCTACATATGTCGAAGGTTTCGAGCTAGAGCCTCTATCGGAAAATCTATTATTGGTAAATCTCATGTCAAAGGAAAGTCTCACACTCTCGTCTATTCGTTGGGATATAAACTCGATTTAGGTATTTGGTTTTGAAAATTTAGGAATAGATAAAGGTCTTGGCTGGTTTATACCTTCTAAGATCCATTCGTCCGGTAAGCTTATGTTTTTCCACCTAATGGGTTTGGGAATGACAGTATTGGATCCGGTCAAATCTGTTTGTAAAATGAGTGTTTTACGTTTGGTGGATTGTCTTTTATGTTTTGAGGCAAAGGCGAAGTCATGGCTTTGTAATAGACTCTTAGGATCAATACAACTAGGATCGATCCTTCTAACATATTGTAGTTTTGGGTTTTGATTTGTAAAACCAAGGATTCTAAAATATTTTTGTCATTTAAGGAAATTGTGAAGTTTGGGTAACAATCAAAAGATATAGGTCCACTACATAAAGCTGGATTCGATGGAACTAAGCAAAAATCCCGAAAACTAGTAAACCTATTATCTCTAAGGATCTGCTAGGATGGAGGTGTTCAATCCTTCTTTTGTAAGTGATTTAATACCCACTTGGACTAAGCCTATGTGGATGTATTTAAAGGTTTTTTCTCTATGTTTTTGTAAGTTTTAGGAAGAGAAGAGACGGATGGTCTCAAAAGGCTTTGAAAGTTTGGATATCTCTTTCTTCGATTTTGATAATGTAATCGATTTTAAACAGATTATATTTGAAGGTTTTGTAAATCTCATCCTTATGTACTTTGAGGATTTCCCAATTATCTATTTGTTTTTCAAAATCTTCTATAACATATTCTACACTATTTATTATCTTCCTAGAATTTGAGGTTTCGGAGGTAGAAGAGTTTGAGAAATAGATAGATCTACGGAATATGGAATCCATACCTAGACTTTGTTTTGTAATAGAGATACGCAAGTTATGAAGGTGATAAGAGCAGTTTATTGCCTCTCCTAGGACTTACTAGTGAGGTCACTAACTCAATTATCTATACCTTTGTTACTAGCAAGATCTAAACATGAACAACATAAATCTATAAACATACCACCACCAACAAAAACAACATGGCTTTGATACCGGAGAAATTCCTTGTAGGTCTTCCTATCCTTTTAGGAGAAAAGGTTAGAACCCGCATTAAAGATGCTTTCGGAGGCCAAATCCCTTATGATCAATTGACTTATGGGGAATTAATTAGTCTTACCCGAAGGAAGGACTAAAAATTTATCAAGACTTAAAACTCCAAAAACACCTTAAATGAGAAATGAGAAAAACAAGACATGAACTTTGTAGTTTCGTAAATAGTTTGATATCAACACCTCAAAACCCTCATCTTCAAGTTGTAAGAATAATTACGATGATAAGGCCCGTAGGAAATCATAAAAAAAAAAAACCTTACCTTCGACGACAAAGGAAAACCCAAAGAAGAACCCTATTATAATAAACATTCCCACAAAAAATCCAATAAGCCTTTCAAGAAACCCCAGTTTAGGCCAGGATCCAAAACCAATCTAAAAGACGTCACTCGTTACAAATGTGGACGGAAAGGCCACATCTCCAAATACTTGTAGGCTCAATTCTAGACTACGGGAACTCCAATTAGAAGAAGAAATCATTAGCAAAATCTTTACCCTTCTTATCGAACTATCCGATTCCTCAAATTTATCCGATAGCAAAGAAACTTTCTAGGTAGATGAGCTTATTACTTCTTCCTCTAGTTCAAACCCTAGTTCGGACATAGAACCTAAAACTAGTATAAAATAAGTCAATGTGTTAACTAAAGATCGGGACCTTATAATTGATCTTATTAATCGTATAGATGACCCTCAACTACAAAAGAAGTATCTGGACGGACTCCTCAAAAATTTTGAAGAAAACCCAGTTGAAAGACCAAAACCTTCAATCCTTCCTTCTACTAATACTAGTACCTATGACCTCACTGCTATACTAGATAGGAAGAAGAAAACCAAAAAACCAATGACCATTATCCAAGAACTTCAAGATGAGATCAAAACCATCAAAGCCGAGCTTAAGGAGCTCAAAGAAAAACAAACCTAAGACTTAAGACTCCTAAAACTCCTTTTAGAAAAACATGTCGATCAAGAGTCCGATTCGGAGGATGAAAACCTAGACATACGTAACCTATAAAATCTAGAAAAGGTCCTAAAAATTTTCTTTTTGTTTTAAGAGAAGTAACTTCTCGTAAATACTTGATAAAAATCACTCTTATTTTTTAAAATAATTTTAAAATTGATACTATTGCTTTGTTTGATACCGATGCTGATTTGAATTGCATGAAAGAAGGCATAGTTCCAAAATGGTTTCACATAAAAACCCATGAAAGACTTTTTGCGACGAAACAATTCCAAAATGACCATAAACGGCAAAACGAAGCCTCCGTGGTCAACGACACAATTGTCCTAAAAAATCATTTTCTTCTTGTTCAAAACATGCATCACATCGTAATATTAGGTACGCCTTTTATTAATCTTATAACCCCTTATAAAGTTAACGATGATAGCATCTCGTTCAAATCCAAGTATACAAAACTTGTTTTTCCTTTTATTGAGAAACCCAAAACTAGGAATCTTAATATTATAAAAGCATGTTCTATCTATAATTTTGAGATAAATGCTTTAATCAAAGGAAAACAATAACATCTTTTACATTTAAGTCAAGATGTTTCTTTACAAAAAAATACAACATTAGTTACAAAATGACTTGATGAAAATAAAGATTTCTAATTTATAAAAACTTATTTAAAATAAAATCTGTTCAAATTTACCAAATGCTTTTTAAAATAGGAAGTATCATAGTGTTGACCTACCATATGAAAAACACTTTGATAAGAAACAAATTCCTACTAAAGCCGGACCTATCCAGATGAATGTTGACCTTGAACAACATTGTATGTTAGAAATTCAAGATTTAGAATCCAAAGGTCTTATCCAAAAATCTAGGTCACCATGGTCTTGTGTAGCTTTCTATGTCAATAAGAATTCGAAATAGAAAAAGGAATACCTAGATTAGTGATCAATTACAAACCCCTAAACAAAGCCTTAAAATGGATTAGGTACCCTATTCCAAATAAAAAGGATTTGTTACAAAAATTGAATTCTCGCTTTTGTCTTTTCTAAGTTTGACATGAAGTCGGGATCCCGGCAAGTCCAAATCCATCCTA